TCTCAAGAACACGTTCTTAAGAGATAATGTGACAGGACACTCTGTACATTAATTTTTTAATTCCAATAAATTGTATTATTACAAATTTAAAATAGTTCACCTTATTCTTTTCAGCTGTATATAATTTATACTAATACAATAATAAGACAAATAATTATTTTATTTTTTATTTACTATTTATATTATTTAAATGTTTGATATTTTACTGTTTTATTCATTTAATTAGTTTTGGTTTTGTTTCTCTGGGCTATTGTTCGTCTGCTTTTATTATATCATTATTATTCAATTAAAATATTAATAATAAAATAAGAAAGGCTCAATAATTGACAAAATTAATAATTAAAATCTGGGCTATGAACCAAAGCTATGTATAAACCGAGGATCAGGCAGAGTGTTAAATAACAATTAACTGAGTGCGAGTACGTTAGTGCGTGGAACCTGGAGTGTCAAAGAAGAAGCTTGTATAATAAGGGTGAGAATAAACTATTTATTCGCAACTACAATCTGTCGGCGTTCTCTCTACGTTTATCCGTCCTGCGGACACAATAGGACTAAAATGATCATCTAAGTGTTGGAACAGCAAAATTAATAAGTTGTTATTAGATTTAGGTTTTAGAAGATCAAACAATGGTTATTGTTTATATTCTAAAATACACAAGACCGAAATGGTATACTTATTATATGTCGACAATTTAATGTTGATTGATTTTTTCCAAAAGATTAAATTAAATTTTACAAAATATAATTAACTCATAAATTCGATATAAAAGATAAAGGAAAATTCAAAAATTTTTTTTGGATTAAAAATTGTTTATGATATAAAAGATATTCTAAAAATAAATCAGAAAAAATATATCTTACACGGAAAGAACAATTTTGCTGGTTCCAGATCTGAAAATAATTTTTGTTCAATAATCAAAATAATTTTGTTTTGGAAAGTCACAATAATTGCTAGAATATCAAAATGTATTATAGCAATGCTTATAATTTTTAACTTTTCAAATTATTTTGATTGAACAAGAATTATTTTCAGACCTGTATTTAAAATTTTTAGGCCTTTTAACAAAATCGTTCTTTCCGTGTAAGAATTTTAAAAAGGTTAAATTTTGAAAATTGTAAACCATGTCTGACACCTATATTGAATCAATATTGAAACTAACTACGTCTGAAAATGATGAAAGAGATAAAAAAAAGTAAAAGAAATATAATAAAATGTTTAATGTATTTAATGCTAGGTTCATGTCCAGACTTAACTTTTGTAATCAATTTTTTTAGCGGACATCAAAATAAATTTACAAATGAAATGTGGAACTATCTCAAAAGAGAATTAACTGAGATGCTTAAAAGGAACAACAAATTTGAACTTAATTTTTGTCAGAAAAAACAAGGAATATCTATTAATATGTTATGTAGATTCAGATTGGGGAGATTTAAAGGATCGAAAATTGGTATCTGGATATTTCAAAAACTTTTAACTATATCTTGGGTAACTATATCTTGGGTTACTGAGAAACAGAACTGTGTCGCATTATCTACAACTAAGGCAGAACTTATAGCACTATATATGCCCCAACAGCCAAACCTGAATAGGCAGATTATGCGCAGACTGTACTATAAATTTCTGATACCAAAAATGCAACAGATTTCACACAGTCTCTGTAATATCTGACGATGTCGGCAAACAGTTGCTAGAAATCTGACAGAATCTTTGCTGATAAATTCTAATTGCACATTGACAACAGAAATCGAACAGATTTTTCAAATGCAGTATTATCGTCAGATTGTCAGCAGAAATTGAACAGAAGCTGCGCTGTTACTGAATACTTACAATACTGCCGCTAGGTAGTGTTTGCTGGTATCCGTTTCTCGCATTTAAAATTTGTCAAACTCCCTTATATAATCAATATTGAAGCTCAGGTATATCATAATTATTTGCGTATTATTCATGTATGTTAGTATGAGATTTGAATAATGTTTTTGCACCAAAGAAGCTACGTATTATAAATGTGCATAATATTATTAAAAAATGGTTGCTAGTGTAGAGAACAAGGGCGAAAATATTATATTTTATATCTTTAGATTGGAATATTCTTGGAAAGAGGAATTAAATGCTTTAATATAAAATACATACATTAATTTTTATTAATAAAACAATTTAAAATTATTTCTTTAAAATAAAATTTAGAAAAAAATAAAAAGCCATTTTTTAACATTTCAGTACTAATAATAATTTAAATGCTTACAAAGTCTGCTCAATTTTTGTTATCAGTCTGCTATCAGATTGTGTCTCGCAGATTCTACTCGGTTTCTGCCGTCAATTTGATGTTAAAAACTGTCAGCATAATCTGCTCGATTTCTGTTGCCAATCTGCTGTCAAATTGTGTAAACAGATTCTGTCGACAGAATGTAAGTAGAATGCGACATTAGATGAGTTCATGCTGCTAACATTTATTCTGATCAAATCTGCTGCTGGTCTGTCGACATTCTGCTAGTATTTTGCTTATTGGGTGTAGTTCAGTTACAGATGGATTAAAAAATTACTATTAGATTTAAATGTATTGATTAATCATCTTTTGATATTTGAAGACAAAGCGTGTGTTTCTTTGATTAAAACAAAAATGTAAAGAACAATACTATAAAAATCGAATACACTAGCAAAATCTAACAAACAAACATGTTGACAAAGGGGTTTACCAAACCCATTTTTTTTATAAAAATTGTAAAGCTGCAGGATTAGAACTCTAGAGAGGGTATAGTTTATAAGCTTAGATGTAAGGAAATCTATGTGCATAAATAAGATACTAAAAGGTTCATTTTTAGTATAAAACGTTAAGAGAAGGTATTGAGGTACTTGGTAGTAATGTTTTAAACAAGTTTATTTTAAGTTGGTAATGTCACTAGATTTTTAGTGATTTTCTTTAGTTGGTTATACAGTTTTTCCAGTCTTACTCTCTCTCTTTTAAGATTGTAAAAATATAAGAACGTCTGAGAAGTGTGTATTATTATCTGCACATCTGTAATTGGAATTTTAACTCGGCCCAATATGACCGCCTTGATAAGGACACTGCTGCGATGGTATTAATCTAATTGTAAGAATACAATCGATGTACGTCAATACATTGATACGTTCTTATCGAGGTGGCCATGTTGGACGTGTGACGTCACGAGTTAAAATCCCAATAAAGATATACAATAAAAAGATACATTTATTAATAGGTCTCGATTTACTGTCTATTATATAAAAATAAGTCCCAATTATAAGATCAAACATTTACCTATTGTTTCAACAGATTTATCATGTAATTTCCACAATACATCTCCATATTGATAGTATTTTGACAAATTGTATTTGGATAATATTTTGCTATGTTTTGTTTTCCATTTGTAATTTTTCATTTGTATTGTTTTCCACAGATCTTCATTATGTAATACCTAAACAAAAACTAAAATTAAAACAAATATGTTCAAGGTTCGTATGAATAAATTCAGAATATAAGAAAAAGAGTTAATGAGTCAATGCAGGATGACTTTGCTTATACATATAATATTAATAATATTAAACGTATACAAAGATTTCAACTTACATATACATTTATCCGCGCGCGCGCGCGCGCACGCACGCACAC